GCAATCTAGCAGACACGCATCAAGATGTCTGATTAGGAGAACGTCTTACCATACTAGAATGGCATAAAACTAACCTCTTCTCCCTGCTCAAACAGGACGATTTGCTAACAGAGCCTCTGTGGGAGGTTCGAGTCCTGAGGCAGCTCCTGTGCCATGAGCATACTGGACCCCTCAGTGAGGTGGTGGCTCCAGAATATTCCTCAGCCTGGAGTTTGCAAAGAAAAAGGAAGGGGGCCCCTGAAATCTTCCACTGTTTTTTTTGTTTGTTTGTTTTAAGGGGGGTTGTCAATTTTTCACTAAGCAGATCCTAAAGTTTGTGTCTTAGCCTGGGTACCTGGCAGACAGAGAGAATGATGGGATTGGATCTCTGTCCCCCAGGCCAGTGGGAGAAACAGACCCAGAAGTGCAAGGATACAATTGATTGATTCCCAAGTGCAGAGATGAGGCGGTGAGGATAGAGTGACATTTCAAGGTCAGGGCTATGCTCTAGCTGTGTTGTATAAAGTGTTTGCCATATGCTGGGTACTGTTTTAACTGTTTACAAACGTAAATCCACTGATGCTAGTATGATCTAGTTCCTAAGATGGTCTTCTTTTCACAATGAGGAACTCCGAGATTGAGTACAGCCAGTAAGTTACAGAACCAATGATCCGAATCCAGGACTCCTCTTCCAAGATGATCAGATAAGAAAACTCACATTACACAACTCTACAGGACCATTCTGGTTAGTCCGTGTGACGTATGGAGCCCTGAGGCCCACTTATTTCACATGGTAGCACATTGCCTTGGGATGCCACAGTAGTAGCCAAGACTGGTCTAGCTCAGGCCAGTCCAGTGATGGCTTTCTGGAGGGGACCTTCCTGACATGGGGATGGGTATTCTGACGGAGGCAACAGTCGGTGATAAGGCATAAAAACACCTGACACAGGTGAGAGTTGTGCTTGCTGGGTCTGGACGAGACACCAGGATGAGTGACAGGGGATGAGGCAAGAGCCAGGGGCCAGCTAAGTCCTTGGAACATCTGACAGCCATGGGCATTATAGAATTATTTTAAGAATGAAGTTGTATCATCCAATGCCTTGGAGGGAGGCCAGATCATTAGGTGGACTAATTAGGAGACGATTAAAATAATAAGGCAATAAATCTCAACTAGACACTGGCTGTTGGGATAAAGAAGGGAAAAAATTGCATTTGAGAGACGCTCATGGATACAGATGACTGGGTGCTTTATTTATTAGTCCAAGACATCCCATCATCTGAAGATAAAGCACAAGCCTCCTAGGAGAGCAGATAAGACCTGCTCCATCTGGACCCAGTCCCCTTTCAGCAGGTGCTAACCTTGAAGAATGTGGACAGATTCCTTAGGCTACCTGTCTGCTCTCCACACTCACAGGCTGTGATCCTATGATCCTGGGTCTCTTGGGGTCCATGTTACCAAACACTCTTTTGTTTGTTTGTTTGTTTGTTTGGTTGGTTGGTTGGTTGGTTGGTTGGTTGGTTGGTTGTTTTTCAAGACAAGGTTTCTCTGTGTAGTTTTGGTGCCTGTCCTGGATCTCACTCTGTAGACCAGGCTGGCCTCAAACTCACAGAGATCCGCCTGGCTTTGCCTTTCAAGTGTTGGGATTAAAGGTGTGCGCCACCACTGCCCACTCATTTTTGACATGCACTTCAAAATGCATTTTGACATGCACTACTATGGTAGCTCACTGACTTAAACATTTACAAAGTGCTGGTAATATAGATCAGTTGGTAGAATGCTTGCCTAGTGTGAATGAAGCCCTGAGTTTGATACCCAACACTGTGTAAACTGGGCTTAGTGGTGTACACTGGAATCCCAGACCTTGGGTAGCAGAAATAGGAGGATCAGAAGTTCAAGGTTATTTTCAGCTACATAGGGAATCTAAGGACAGCCTGGGCTACATGAGACTCTACTTCCAAAAAAAAAAACAAAAAACAAAAAAAAAAAAACAGCAAAGAAAGAAAATCTACTGGATACCCTTCTTACCATCATTCCCTAGGTCTGAAATGCTTCCCTTGGCACACGAGAAGCCAGTGGTCTTCTAATGTGACTCCTTGGTAGCTTCTGTTGCATGAGTCCGCCTTATCCTATGGACTGGCTCCTTCTCACCCACACCTCTCAAACTTGGTCGTGCAGACAAGTCACCTAGGAATATTGATAATGACACAGATCCTGAGGTGATGGTTGTGGGTAGGGCCCAAGACTATGTACTTCTCAGAAGACCCCAGCAGACAGCATTAGAAAGGCAAACACATAGATTCCTCAGAATCATCCCACAAAAAAGCAATGAAAACTGCTGGTTTTTATTCTCCATGCAGAAAATTCACATATAGTAAAATGCGTAGACTCCAAATCTATAATTTGATGGATTTTGGAAAATATATACACCCCTTGCTGGGTGGTGGCGCACACCTTTAATCCCAACACTTGGGAGGCAGAGGCAGATGGATCTCTGTGAATTCAAGGCTGGCCTGGTCTATAGAGTGTGTTCCAGGACAGCCAAGGCTACACAGAGAAATTCTGGAATATCAATATTTCTAGAAAGTTTCCACTTGACCTTCATTTCTGTATGTGTGTGTATATATGTATATGTATGTGTGTATATATGTATATGCATGCATGTATATATTATATATGTGTAAGCATATATGCATATATAATACACACACACACACACACACACACACACACACACACACACACATCCCTATGGCCCCAATAAAGAATGTCAATATTTCTAGAAAGTTTCCATTCAACCTTCAATTCTCTGTATACACACACACACACACACACACACACACACACACCCCTATGGCCCCAGTAAAGAATATCAATATCAATATTTCTAGAAAGTTTCCATTCAACCTTCATTTCTGTTACTATGACAAAATACCCTGACACAAAAAACTTTAGAGGGTTGGAGAGTTAGCTCAGTGCTTAAGATCACTTGCTACTCTGCTTCTTAGCACCCATGCCAGGGAGCTCACAGCTGCCTGTAATTCTGGCTCCAGGAGATCCATTGCCCTCCTCTGGCCTCCGAAGGCACCACCGTACATGTGGAATACACACACATAGATGAAAAAAAAATGTTTTAAAAGCAACTTCTTTAAGCTTACAAGTCCAGGTCGCAGTCTATCACAGCGGAAGAAGCCGCAGTGACAGGGTCTTGCAGCAGCTAGCCACATCCCATTCACATCTAGAGGAGAAGGAGACATGCGCAACCTTGCTACTTGCTTGTTCTCAGCCGACTTTCTCCTCTCTTTTCTCTATTGTTCAAGACCTCTTGCCCAGGGAGTGGTGCCGCCCACAGTGGGCTGGGTCTTCCTACATCAATTATCAATCAAGGCCATCCCACAGACATGCCCCTGGACCAACCTGATCTAGACAATCCCTCGTTAAGACTCTCTTCCCAGGTGACTCTAGGTGTCAAGTTAACTGCTAAAACTAGTTTCCTGTTCAACCCAAAATGAACATAGTCCAAGAAAGTAGTTTTCTGATTCAAGAGTTTTGATCTAAGGTTGTTGTGTTAGTCAAGTTCTCTAGAGGAACAGAACTGATAGGATGAATATATATATATACATATATATGGGAATTATTAAAGTGGCTTGCAGGCTGTGGTCCAGCTAGTCCAATAATGGCTATCTACCAATGAAACGTCCAAGAATCCAATGGTTGTTCAGTCCATGAGGATGGATATCTTATTTGGTCTTCAGTATAAACCAGGGGGCATGTGACACACTTCTTCCAAGTAGACCCCCATCCTATACCCTTCACTAGCTCCCAATAATGTTATCATCTTATGCATTTACCAAGGGTTTAGCCTATTCACTATGTCAGCACCCTCAGGACCTCAATGTTTCTAGAGATGTCGTCACACATGAGCCAGAGGAGTAATTTACGAATATTCTGCATGAAATGTATGTGTGTGTGTGTGTGTGTGTGTGTGTGTGTGTAGTGTGTGGATATGTTTGCAGAGTGTGGGGGTGTGCTGATAGTATGTATGGCAGCCTAAGGTTGCCTTCAGATATATTCCTTAATTATTAACTAGACTATTTATGGAGAAGCAGGTTCTCTCACGTAGACCTGGGGTTCACTTATTTGCCCACCTTTTTCTGGTGACTCCCTGTCTCCACCTCCCGCTGCACTGGCATTGCAGGTGATCCACCAACCCCACGCAGCTGAGTGGGATCCGAACACCAGTCCTCACTTGCACACCAAGCACTTTGCCCCCTGAGCCATTTCCCCACCTCCTCCTGCTCGTTTTTCAATCTGTCCAAGCTGTCTGCCAAGATTTACCATCATAGATTTCAACGTACGGACTCTGAGAAGACACAAATACTCAGACCACAGCAGTAGCTCAGTTCTGAGGTGACAGACAGGAAACACATGGAAGCCTCCTGGAAGAGAGAATTGAGGGACAAGTGTTCCTAGCCAGGCCAGAGAGGATAAGAGGAAGCATTTTAGTTTTTCATCCACCTGCCTCTGCCTCCCGAGAAATGGGATGAGAGGCGTATACCGCCACACTCGGGTACTCATCTGCTCCTTGAAAACCTTGGCCCTAACAGTCTCAGCTTATCTTCCAAACAGGCCTATGGTAAGGCATGGCCATGGAAACTGAGGTTTGAAGAGGTTGACTTAAAGGCACACATTGGTCAGCTAGGAAGCAATGCCTCTGGCCTCCAGAAAAGCTGTTTCCCGCCCCACAGCTCTTCCTGGAAGGGCAGAGGCCAGCCAAGTGGCAGGAATCACAAGGGCTCTCCAGGGATCCAGACTACACGCAGCCTGTGAATGAAAGCAGTCCTGGATGGCAGGACGGAGCCACCAGGGCTCTCTACAATCTGTTCCTTTGCAGGTGAACCTCAGACCTGAGGAATCTCCTCACTGAGGAATGACGCTCGCCTCCCTAGGTCATGGTCCCCCGGGGCTGACTAACCTTCTCTCCACACCGTATTAATTGGCTTGTGTCCCCTGTGTGTTTCAGCCTCCTGCTTCCCACTGCTGCACCATGAAAATCCTGTTTAGTGACGTTCTGCTGCTCAGCCTGCTCTCCAGCGTGTTCAGCAGCTGTCCCAGGGACTGTCTCACCTGCCAGCAGAAGCTCCACCTGGACCCAGACAGCTTCAACTTGAAGGTATGTCCGGACTATCCTCTTCTTTGCCATCTCTTCCCCCTGACTTCAAAGCAGATGCTAAATGAGACGGTCAAGTCTCTCCCAGGACTTGTACAGTGTCGTGTTACTAGGATGAAACAGGTGGAGCTGAGCTGCATCTTCCTACTATGAACCCTGTGGTCCTCCCTCTTTCCAGCCAGACCCCAATAGTCCTCCCTCTCTACCACCAGACTCCTGTG